CCCTAATGACTTCCGGAAGTAATTACCGTAATCGATTACGGGAAATTAATGACCGTGACTAATGATGGAGAACACGCACACCTGAAGGGTGCCCCTTCCCTTTCCTCTCCAAAACAACAATAATAATAATAATGAAAATACAAGAAAGAGAAGAAGAAGAAGAGGAGGAAAAAAAACAACAAACAATCATCCTAAGAGCAGGTATCGCAGGTTTCCCGCCCCCACCCCGCCCCTCACCCAACACACCAGGGACAAAATGACTCGCCCCCATGGTACCCTCTTACCCCGTAACGTCCTCCCCGAGACGACCGCCGCCGCCGCCGCCACTGCCTCCGCCGCTGTCGCCGCCGCCGCTGTCGCCGCCGCCGCGTTCGTCGCATGCGTCTTTACTTTCCGCAGCCCCCGCCGGCATTGTCGCAGGCGCTTGTACTTCTCGCGCGCAGCAACGCCGGCGATGAGTGCGGCGCGTGCGGGAATAAACGTATAGTAATATGTGTGGAAAGGTATGAATGAGAACGAATATCTTCACAATACAAGAAATGTATTTGACCGGTTTCGATTATATCTTCGTCAGAAATACATATCTCTTGTATTGTGAAGATATTCGTTCTCATTCATACCTTTCCACATTTGTCAACATGAATACGGTTCGTATAGTAATATGCCTTGTTTAAACTGCAGCTAGTATCACTAGGAGAAATATACCCTGAACAGACAAGTCGAGGGTGGGGGATAACAAAGTTTATCTGCTGAATGAAAATCCTTTTTCTTAGGCATGCTTGTTTGGTATAAATATTACTATATACCCATCTTATATATATGTAGGTATACATATATATATATACTATACACAATTAATATATAATATATTTATATATATATATATATATATACACACACACACACACACACACACACACACACACACACACACACACACACACAATATATATAATATATATAGTATATAATATGTTATATATATATATATATAGTATATTATATATATATATATATATATATATATAGCATATATATGTATCTGTGCATTTGTGTTTTAATCATGGCAAGACACATCTCTCCAGTGCAAGCCGACTGTAACATCGCAGGCAGCAAACCCAGGACAGTGACTGAATAAATGGGTTGTATAGTAATCATTATTATTTCTGCACATGACTGTCGATGTTGTAATAATATATATATATATATATATATATATATATATATTATATATATATATATATATACACATATATATGTGCACATATATACATCTCTCTCTCTCTCTCTCTCTCTCTCTCTCTCTCTCTCTCTCTCTCTATCTATCTATCTATCTATCTATCTATCTATCTATCTATCTATATATATATATATATATATATATATATATATATATATATATGCAAACACATGCATACACACAAACACGCAAACACACAACACATACAGTACACACACACATATACATACACACACACACACACACACACTCACAGGGAGTCAAAAATACGTATTCCATAGTTCCACATAGACAAACAAGTTGGCGAGTCATAGGGCATCTTCCACGTCATGGAGATGGTAGTAAGTAATTATGTTAATCCTTTTATAATGAAGTATATATTCCATGTGATTGTCACAATGATAACTTGGTTATATATTTGTTAATATTAATACGTATATATTGTTATTGACATGCACAGATATTATCTATTTATCAAGGCAAGATCAAGCGTGGATATTAAGGGGATTGTGAGAGGCTAATAAAACTACGCCAGTCAGCATTAATCGTGATTATAAGGCCAAGCGAGAACCCAGTCGCTCTCGCGCTCACTCAGTCATTGCCTCGTGAATCTGTGCCCGTGGAAATATTGAACTATAGCATTATCGTATTATTAAAGTGGTGGAAAATGTGTTTCGTTATCCATTCCACCGCGAGTGTTATGCCAGGTGTATTGATATATTCTTGAACTAGAACGGAGTCTAACGTATAGACAAAGGGAAAGTATCACTAACGTGATCAAAGTACTATTGAGAAGTGACTGCTACGCCTTATCTGACTAGGTAATTACCAAGTTATAAGGAAATAGTGGAGCGGTGCACACACACACACACACACACACACACACACACACACACACACACACACAACACACACACACACACAACACACACACACACACACACACACACACACACACACACACATACACACACACACACACACACACGCACATCTATATATGTGTGTGTGTGTGTGCGTGTGCATGTACAGTAATTCGAAGTATGTGTGCAACACTGATTCCTTTAACATGGGCACAATACTATTCCGTGGATGTTAATACATGCATTTTTATTTACATGTGTAATGTAGAATAGTATTACTATATGTATGTGTGCAGTTATTTTCTTCTCATGGGTATGTATACAAGAGTATCTTCATATGAATGTCTATAACAGTAATTCTATAATTATGTGCTTGATGCCATCATAATGTTGCATAGCCAGTGTATGAAAAGCTGTTTTTTAATTCTCCACATGATTGCGTTTTTTTGTTTACATTTTGGGGTGACTAAAGTAAAGAAATGATACAACGACATAAACAGAAGACATTAAACTTTATTGTCCTTTATGATGCCCAAGGAGTGGAAGAGAGCAAAATGCCCATGAAAATAAAGGAAACATAGATGGAGAATAATGAAGAGTACGAGTAGATTTTAACAATTATGTTGTAAAAGCTGATATAAAGGCTATTGCATAAATATATCATTTCACCTTCAACCCTTTTTGATGCCATTCATCCCTCGCGGAGGTTTGGTTGAAGCTAACCACTTCATTTCGTCTTAGTCTTTTTTCGAAAATTTAACTGCCTTAACCATTGTATAATTACATTTTTGATTTGCATATCCTTCTTATTTCTTGCATTATCAGAAACAGACAGATTGCATATCCCTTTCGGTTTAAGAGATAGGGAAAAAAAGGATATGAATGACATTGAAGAAGAAAACGATAATAAGCCACAATACCATATACAAATTTTACGTAATTGGAAATATTCTATTAGATAAGAGTAAGTTAGCAGCATTTTTATCTGTTCTCCTCACCCACCTGCCCACCCACCCACTGCTGCCCACCCCGTACTAAATCTGGTTCGCCGACTGAACAGCACTTTACACCTTAAAGCAAAATAATAATAATAAAAAAATCGTCCTCATTTAAATCTCGCAATATCTAACAAACAGGAAAAAAATTAAAACTCCTTCACCAGTGACATCCTCGGGGAAAAAATTAGAATTAAAAAAATAATAATAATAACACGCTTCCCATTCTCTAAAAATACCTCAGAGCTTCGACAATAGATGCCCTTCTGGAAATAATAATAATAAACGCTTCCCATTCCTAAAAATACCTCAGAGCTTCGACAATAGATGCCCTTCTGGAAATAATAATAACACGCTTCCCATTCTCTAAAATACTCAGAGCTTCGACAATAGGCCCTTCTGGTATCCTGCACGTAGCGATGAGCACCCATGACAGGAATGCTACCCGCGTCAGTGCACGACCGGCAGCAGTGGAATGACATGAAGCTCTCTTTACACTTGTGGAAGCGGACTGCGGATTCACACACATCAAATCTGACAGATCCGTAGAAATGGCTGTCAAGGCAAGGTGTCACGAGCTTCGGAGCTGAAAGCGAAAAAGGGAGAGAGGATAAGAAACACATTATTCTTGATTTACGAAATTAGCAGAGTAATGCTTCTAATTCTTAGTTTTCATCATTTTCCTTCACATCTTTCTTCTTCCTCTTGTTTTTTTTCTGTTTCCTTCTCTTCCTATCTTCTCCATAGTGGATAGTAGATAAAGGTTAGGACAGTGAAAACAAAGATTGATTTGTCTGGCTGTTCGTTAAGACTAATCAAGAGAATAAAAAAAAAATTGTTTGTATGTAAGCTTTGTTTTTTGTACTATCATATATTCATACACATGCATACATACATATACATATATATGTATCTGTATATCTAACTATTTATCTTTATACACACACACACACACACACACACACACACACACACACACACACACATATATATAATATATATATATATATATATATATATATATATATATATATAATATATATATATATATATATATATATATATTATAT